GCAGGAGTCTCTGCAAAAAAAACCTTTCTCTTCCATCTGTCAAGTAATTCCTTCCAAAAAACCATACTGGCTCAAATTTCAGGGGAAAAAAAATGAACAAACTAAATAACAACTAGCTTAAAACTAAATTGGAAAATTGGAAAATGTATTGAAATGCCATAATTCTATCATTTCGAGAGCATTTATTCTCGAGCAGTAAATTATTATTGCGGCAAGGATAGAAAGCTTACCGATGTTGTTCAGAACCGCTGCCTTACCACTATCAACTTTCCCAAATAAAAAGTGGCTAAAATAAGTTAACGGATGTAAGCGCAGCCTAAACTAATCTACAGTGGCATCTGTGAAAATTCTTCCTAAACACTTTTCTGTTACAGGTGGAGGCACTTGAAGTAGTAGCACAATTAGTAGCATACGCCAGTCGCGGCCAGCCGCTGACAAGGCTGTTGAAGACTCCTTCTGGAAGTTGTTTGCAAGCAAATTGATGACGGTTACCTCTTGTCACTAACAGCAATATAACTCGAAGCTACTTTTTAAATGTCAATCACAAAGAAGTGCAGAAAAAAGTTCGGAGAAAACCTACAAGTTGTAAGAAAACACAAAAATATTCTTAACACCTTTCCAATAACATAGGGTCCAACGCGCTTTCGTTTAGGCACCCCGAGTCTCGTGTTTTTGAACAAAATACTACTAATTGACCTAAGCTGAGACGCACCGGACGGGCCTGTGCAGCCATGCGTTTTTGCATCGAACCTGAGGTACTCAGGTCATTAACTGCATGAATGGTTATTGCTTTACATCTACCTTTCACGGTCACTAAAATAAATCACCATAATTTTTGCATAAAGCAAATATACAATTTCTAGTTAACTGTTTTTCTTTAAAAGTAACCTAGCTGTTCAGTGAGAAATTTTTCCTCCAAAACTTTAAAATGCCCATACGCAAGAACCACGCATAACTCAAGGCTGGATTTGAGATGCTTAGTTTGTACTTGGAGAGGGAGCATTACCCTAAAATCTCAGTTTTTTAACTTTCCTGGTTCCCGAGTTAGTAGTTTTACCGCAGAAACATTCATACTTCCTTACTTGAGTACCACGCATAGCTGGGGGCTGAATTTGAATTATTTGATTTGGGAACATTCCCCCAAAATTTCGGCCTTCCAGCTTTCCTAGTTACCAAGTTAGCAAATTTCCCGCCAAAAATTTCACATGCCCGTACGCAGTACCTCACGTGCCTGGGAAACTGAATTTGAAATTTTTAAACTGCATGTTGACAGGAAACATTCCCCTAAAATTTCAGCCTTGCAGCTTTTCTGGTCCCTGAGTTAATAATTCTCCCGCCAAATCATTCACGCATTCGTACGCAAGAACCACGCATATCTGGAGGCTGAATTTGAAACTTTTAGCTAGTACTTTGACAGGGAATATCCCTACAAAGTTTCAGTTCCTTAGCTCATGTGGTCTCCGAGATCGCTTTCCCGCCAAAAAATTTGCATATTTTTTTAAAGCGTCCGTACGCGGCAACTAAGGCGGGGATGATATTAAAACGAGAGGGTCGCGCATGGTATGGGCACATACTCCCGAAGTTTCAGCCTCCTACTTTTTCTGGTTCTCGAGATGAAAGTGGGCGACAAAAAGTGCGAACACACACACACAAACACACACACAGTCTCTTCCCAATATGAGTTTTTGCAATTTGCATATATGCAAAAACGCATAAAAATATCGTGACATCAAACCTCCCCACTGTTATGTTGTCGGAATAAGAAGGGAGTGGATCCAAAATTTTTGAAGATGTCCTACCCGCTACAGGCAGAGAACATTATCCCTCTCTGATAAATAAACTCGAAAACAGCTATTACCTTCCACTTTTTGGCCAGTAGGTTTCGGAGGAGGAGGACGGGAAAGAGGAGGAGGAAGAGTTTCAACAACATCTTCGATGATGAATGTTTCCATTACGGGCTCTGCTTCCTGTGGCGGTTCAGCTTTTTCCATTTTAAGTTTCTCAGACGAAGATGACGATGCTTTTCCCTTTGTAGCCTTTAAGGTACTAGCATCACTACTCCCCACTGCATCTTTGTTCTGTTCAGCACTCGCATTTTTGTTCTTTTCCACAACTACATCTTTCTTCTCCTCCACCGTTTTCCTGTACGATTTTTCCAAGATATCAGAAAGGCGCCCTTGCACCGGTCCAAAATCCATTTGCAGTAATCTGTCCAGCTGGAACATCATAATCCGGTAATAGTATTACAGTAAAATAAGCCAGTATTGAGGATGCATTTGCAGAAGTGGGAAAAGAATTCTTGGCATCCATCGGCAAAACCATTGCGTTCATACTTTCGAGAGCTGCCTAATAATACACCAGTCTGACACTTAGAAGGAGTTCTAATCGAAATGAATAATCAGTTTTCAAACGGCAATTTGAACCGATGGCTAAAGTCTGACTGTAGGCACCTTACGCCTTCATACTTCGTCCACCAATTCTGACGGA